AATGCCTGCTCGAACACCTTCCGGAGTTTTCGAGCCGTCAGTGTACCACTGGATAATGCTGCATCTCAGTGGTAGGTAGAGCGTGGAATCACTTCACCCCACCTTACTGCCGAGAGTAACTAAAACTAGATGCAGCGGTGCGAGCTCTAGCATGACTTCAAGTGCTGCGTTTGGGTAAGTGCATATTGCCACTAAAGCGCAGATGTAGACAGCTTCGCTAGTTAAAGGCATACCGAAGACTGCGTGGCCTTCGATGCCCAAGCTACCGCTCCATAAGTGACAATAGGTCTTTTTATTTATTGCAGCCACCTGATGATACTTGGCTTGCAGCCCTAGCTTCTACGGCTAAGCGTCTGCATAACATGTGAGATCATCAGATCTAGCCTTTGATCCAACACTGTCTAAACACCTCAGCTCTTGCAGCTACTTCAATCTGATAAAGTTTAACAAATTCTTTACAATAATAAAAAGAACTCCATTCGTTTCCTGTATCTACTGTTAGGTATATCAAAATCAAACCCTTCCATCCGCAATAAAAACCGGTCTACATAGCCGTATGGGACGCGGATATGTGTATACCAGAGATAATTTATTCCTGATGTATACCTAGCCAGATATTATTTCCCAAATTTGTTTTGTTTTGATTTTTCTGTTGCTATAACAACAACAGTAGAAAACTTGATTTTATTTTTTTTTTTACTCCTATTCGGATTGTCAATTTATATACAAACCTTATCAATAATTAATCCGTAATTGTGTTCAGTTAGCAGATATTAGATTGGTATGTTAGATTGTTATTTTCCTGTTTTTGAAATTTCAGCGCAAATTAAATATTACGAACAAAATACGCACACAACTTTGTTGCAACAATTATCTTTTTGCCTTATATTTATATTGACAGATTTTTTAATTAACATAATTCAAATACGCTAATTATTTATTTCCAATTTGGTGCTAAAAGAGGCACAATTAAGCAACTATACATTTAACTATAGGTATAGATGCACACATATGTATACACATATTATTTCTTTCGATTATTGCGTCAAAGGCTATTGGAAATTATATTTGAAGTTGCTAATTGTATAGGATTTGCTGACATTGTTTGCATAGCCACTCTTAATGTTCATCATACGTCCGGGTGGCTATTGACATACCTAGCGTATAAGGGGGCTCAGAACAGCATTTTTCAAAAAATATTCTTTAATATTTCGAATCACACAGGTATTTTTCCCAACAGAAATAAAAACAAGAAAAATCGTTAACTTCGAAGCTATAATACACCATCTTATAGCATAATGTGGTATAGAACCCTTTAGTCAATTTTGATTGTCCAGTATGTAGAAGAAGAAGAAGATAGCAGATTATAGCCTTACCCTGGACAATAATCTAAGCCAAATTTTGGGATGATATCTTGTTAAATAAAAAAGTTATCCATACAAGAACTTTATTTGGATCGGTCAGTTTTTACGTTTTAATAGTTGCAGCAAGATATATAAATCACTAAAACTCAGAACGGGATGCGCACACCGAATGAATAGACAAAAACAAAAAATATATCCGATCTAAATGGGGTTAGATGTTCGAAATAGCAGCCTTTTGATGGATAAAATCCGGGTCAATTCCGGTGCGCACAACTGGCTTGAGGACATCAAAAAAACTACGCTCCCTCCAGGACTGAAGAGATGGACCATGAACTACTTGAGCGGTCGTCAATTTGTACTGTTTCGAGGTAAACGAGAAGAATTAAGCAAGAGGTTCCACAGGATGGTGTCCTCTCTTAACTTAACGATTATCGCCAAAATACAAATACGCAACAAAATCCCCAAGTCGCCAGCCGGCAGCACATGGAAAAAAGGACAAAGAAACGTTGTTGGCAACATACAAGACAATCGTCCGGCCGTTCCTTAACTACGCCTCACCAATATGGTCGCCTGGATGCAGCGAAAAGTGGACGAGTAAGCTGCAAACTTGTCAGAACATTGCAGAACTCTGGACAATGATAAAATGCCTTTTGATGTCTCCCATCGAACACCTGCATAGTTAGGAAAAGCCTCCTAGGAGCGTTCTTAACTACGTCGATGGCATTAAACAATACATCGACCAGACTTCGGACGCAACTAACTTCTGACAAGCACTGACCGAGATCCACAGTGGAGCAATCAACATCATCACCTACTCTCTCAGTGAATGGCGACCTTGAAGTCAAACCACCACCCATTGCAGACGAAGAGCTCTATTTGCCGAGAGAACCTTATGCAGCTTCGTTCTTGATGCTGTAGCTGGTTAAACTCCTATTTATCCAGAATAGACCCCGAGAACCCAATATGTCTCCACATGACACTGGCCATCTCTTTGCTTGCCCCACCAGCCCTGCTCATCTGACACTCTGTTCTCTTTGGTCCGCAACCATCGAAACAGCACGTTTCCTGGTCCTACCGTTGGAAGACGTCGACAACAACTTACATAGCTAATCCTTACCATCCTAACGGCGATTATGTGCCCAATACAACAACAACAAACAAAGAACCGGATACAAAAACAACAGAAAAAAATCTTGAAAATACAAATTATTCATAATCAGTTTAAAAGCATTTTATTTATTATTTAAGGCAAGCTTTAATTTCAATGTGGAAAGTGTCGATAAATTGTACTTAAAAAAGTTATGTTAAAATAAAATCACAATTCGTTGTTGATTTGAAATCGCAAAACGGAAATATGTACCAATTTTTTAAATTATTCCACATACTCAATCACAAAATTTAAATATTTTAAATATATATACATACATAGAAGTATGTACATGTATATACATAAATATTTGTAGTGGCATATACATATATTACATTGGAAAGTTTTTAAAATATGTTTTGACATTCAGACTTGTTGTTATTAAAAACTTTGTATAGCAATTAATAATTCTGTGATTTTATAATATTTTGTTATAAATGGAAAACTACGTTTCGTGATATAGTATATATTGAGTTTTACTTAATTCGTGTCATATAATATTGCTTAAAGTGTTATACATATATGTAAGTATTAATGTATATAAATATGTATTATTTAATGTCTTATATATCACAATGTCATGGATATCATTAAACGTAGTAAATCTAATGAGAAGTAAAATATAGTTTGCAGAGCAATACGATCGATCACCTTTGTAATTGCAATTGAATACACTATTTTTTATTTGTCTTATTTATATTTTAAGTGTTTAGTATAAGTATTTAAGTTTTGTCAATATTTATTTGACTGGAAGATGAGCGTATTATCCATTGGTCAATTGTGTTACTAGTTATTTTTGTGGAAAACGTACTAAAATCTCTACAGCTACTCTTTATTTCTTTACATAGTTTAGAAATTTAATAAAGTTACTATATTTAGTCTAACGATATATAATTAGCAGATTATTATGCTACATTTTATAACTCGTTATATGAAAAAGCTAAGCTTAAATGTGTTGTGCTATCACTTGTTTTAAGTTCTCTTGGAACATTATGCCTGATTTGAACTAATTTTCTATATTGTTACGACTAATCAACAATTTTAACAATTAAATCTTAATTCCACCCAATTACACATTCATATAACGATAACCGCCACTTCCAGTACGATAATTATCGCTCAGCTTTATATACTGGCCCAGGAAGTACTGTACCGGTCCACTACGACAAATGCCATGTAAATATGCTACCAAATGTGGCGTCAAAACAGTTATCACAATGTAGGCCACATTCGGCACGCGACCAGTGTGACCAATTGGACAAAGCCAATAGCCACGACGCACTGCATCACGGGTATGATGTGTGACAAAAGCGCAAAGCAACACGCCAAATGTTAAAGATGTTTTAAAATAGTTTAAACTGGCCGTGCATAGGTAAAAAATGAGTATTACAAAAATTATACTCGAACAGTGTAGAAACGGACGTCGTGGCAAGTTAGTCGCATCCTATATATATGAATGTAATATTGAACATAAAATACATTTGCCATTTTAAACTATATTATCTTACCTCTAAGTAAAGTGAACGCGCTTCTATAAAGTGATCCAAATCAATTAAAGAAGATACGGCGAAACAGGTGAATATCAAGAACCATCCCAGTAAATTGCTCGTACGCTCATGAAATTGAACAGCAAATGCGATTCCTGTTAATGCACCAATTATAGCGTGTGTAGCATTATCGGCTAATGCTTTTAATAGAGGATGTTGCGTCAACTCAACAAAATTGTCTCCCAGCAGACAGGTGATAGTCAATAACGTTGTAAGCACAATGCGTACGTAGACCATTATATGGCAGTGCATTTGCAGTTTATAATAACAAAAATGTGATACGAAGTGGCTGGCTTTGGTTTTAACTATAATTTATGATTTTTATATTGGGGACGGATCAAAGTTTTTGCCGTTCTTAGATTTTTCGACACAGTTTATAGTTGTTTATCAAAATCGTTATTCACTTTCCTCTGCATTTGTAAATCAAATGTTGTGTAAGTTGTGCGTTAAGTTCCATAAATATATGCTTTGAAAAAAAGGCACTATTGCAAACGTTCAATTTATCTTAACACGTCAATGACTCACCTAATAAACAATAAATAATAAAAATTACAATTAGCTACAACCAAATAATGCTGCATGAATTTTTTTACCTGTGTCGATTTTTCAAAGCTGTGCACTCGTCACCTTTCGATTTAGCCATGTGCAAACTTAATGTGAAGAGGCGGTAATTCTTAACACCCTTCCACTGCTATTAACAATGCCCTAATTTACTTTTCACGGTTTGTGTACAAATTACCGCATTTACTACATATTCCATATTTTGTGTTGTTTTTTCACCGGCAACAAAATTCCTTGAACCTTGAACTAAACAGCTGTGTTCTGTTTTCAACTTCACGGTTGCATTCAGTGCATAATAATAAAGTTTATCAAAATATTAAAAAATACACATTTTAAATAAGTTTTGACTGGCTGAATTCGATATATTAAACGGATACATGATCCAAGATATAGCACAGAAACATCCTACCTCCTAAATTTAAATAAAGATCGGTAGTCTTTCTAAATTATCGATTCAACCAAGCGTTTTTATCTACTATGTGGCGCCAAATATAATCAGCTGTTTATAAAAGGATTTGAAAACTAAAATTAAATTATAATAATAATATGAACGAGAAAATTAAAAAAATGAGAATCCCAATTGAAGTTAATCAATTGGTTAAGAATCAGACTGATCATGGTAAAAGTATATTAAATTAATATTTTAAATTTATATTGGGTATCTTCTGATTGTAGGTATTTCTTGTGCGCCGGTATCTAATGACGATTACTCCAATTTGTTGGCGAAAGTTCCAGGACCAAAAGGTTCACCATATGAAGGCGGTGTATTCGAAATTAAAATTTGTTTTGGCACCCAGTATCCTTTCCAACCGCCAACTTTCAAATTCTCAACACCAATTTATCATCCGAATATAGACAACTGTGAGTTTATTGAGAAGTTTTATTTAAACATAACTAATTTTATTTAACTTAGCGGGTAAAATTTGTTTGGATTTGTTACGTATGCCGCCAACCGGATCTTACAATCCTGCTATTACACTAGAGTCAATGCTACTCTCCATTCAATTACTACTAGCTTCTCCTAACCCGGACGATCCATTGAATAGCGCAGCTGCGGATCTCTACAAAACTAACATTGAACAATTTAATATTAAAACACGTGAATTATTACAAAAAGGACATTCGAACCAAAAAAATTTCATATAAAAGGACTTGCCACAAAACGAATTAAATAAATCACCGATACCACTCAGAAAAAAAACAGTTCATTCAGCTGTCGTGAAGAAATACAATTCTATTTTAATGTCTTCATTTCCAATTTGGTCATCACCGTTACAATTATTTATTATTTAATCAATACATTTCATTTTATTTCAATTAATTTTATGTTGACAATTATTTATTTAGCAATTTAATTTATAATGGGCATCATGAATTATTTAACTGTGTATTCCACTTAAGACGATAGGTGTGCTTGTTTATCGTGTTCTACTAATTTGTTGAACATCACTTCTAAAATGTAAAATCCACAATATAAAATATGAAACTAAACGAATAATTACAAATAGACATGTTGGTTTTAAACTATTTGACTGTCTCGCTATAAAACCGCCTCACAAGTGTGTTTTACAGAAATATGATAAGTCTAAATAAGAATAGTTGTGTTAATTAAAGTCATAAAGGTATGAACAAACTTTTAAATACTAAATAATAGCAAAATAATTACATGAAAGCATTGTTAAAAAATTCAATTACACCTACTTAAAATGTTCTTATAAATAGCGCATATGTATCTCTTAATAAACGACTTAACATGTTTTGTGTTGTGTGGTTGCTCACAGGCTTACGGTGGCAGCGTCGGCAGTGAACTGACAACAGATCGTAGAAACTTTTTAAACTACAAAATAAAATCGATTACAGATGAATTTCATAGTAATGTAGAGTTTGATGGTGTACTAATAATGTTTAAATGTGTTGTATGAATCAGCACAGCGAAGACACTTTTTCGTTGACTTTGACCATTCTGACGAGAACAACACCACGACCCGACAATTATGAACAATGTAACGTATTTTTTTCAGTATTAAAGCGTCTATCGCACTGCCTTTTATTATTTCAGGATTTAAGAATTTATGTGTCCTTGTGTTTTTCGTAAAAGGCATCCAGGTATTTTTTGTACTCGGCTTGATCCGCCCACATCATTGCCGCCTGAGCGTTTAGCGGACTATCATTATTGGGTTCACCCAATAGCGATTGTATGGACAGCAGGATTGTGCGTACATCATATAGGGCCGACCATTTATCTTTCAATATATCCAAACATATACAGCCAGCTAGATCTACGTTTGGATGAAAACAGGGTGTCAAAAATTTTACGGATGGTGGTGCGTATGGATATGAATTTGGAAACTCCAACGAGAGGCGATACTTTTGACCCACATATACTGTATTGGCCGGACCAGCAATCGTACCAATCCATTTAAATATATTTTCACCATCGGGGAATGCTGATATACCTTTCTCTGTTGCCATCATTAAGTTCATCAATTCTTTTTGGAGACTATTATAAACATAGAAAATATCAATTATTAGTATATGTAAATATAATAATTCCAGACATACCGTTTACTAACTGCATGCCCATGCTTTGCTGCACAGGAGTTGGCACCTTGTTTCGCAGAGTCTACTCCACTATGCTCTGGACTGATGTTCTGAGCCATAATATTTTAGAAAACTGAGAATTTTTACTATATATAATTAATTTAATCACTGGCTTGAGCGATTGCAATTTCTGCAAAATGTTTTGAAGTTTTCGACGCCAATAAATATTTTTATTTTATTAGTGATGATGAATTTTTCTGCAACTAAGTTGTTTTCTCTATTTGATGACTTTTTTATTCTGCCTCTTCTCACATTCGCTGTATAAATTGACAGTTATAAACAAAATGGAGATTTTGAAAGGAGACAAATTCAGCAATTCAGCCTGCACCGCCTGCCGGGAATTAGCGAAACAAGTTGGAAAGTAATAAGAAAATAATAATTTTATTATTATAACATATACAATTTACAATTATTTAATTTAGGCTTAATAATTAAAAAACAAAAAAAAAAAATGGAGAATTCACTACTCAACAAATATTTATATAAATTATGATTATAATTAGTTTGTGGGGTCAATTGAAATGTAATAACATATCTGGCACTGAATGTACGTTTGTTTTATCACAACAGAGTGAAACAAAATCAATAAGCAACATAAAAGAAAACAAAGTAAAACTTCTGGGTTAAATTTGAACAACAGAGACACAATGGCTCAGAATTTTCAGGGAGTGCAATCTCCTACTTCCAAGAGTAATAATGGTAACGCAACGGAGAATGTTACACCCGAAAGTGAATTTGAAGGATTCCACAACTATACGGCGGCTGAAGTCTTTATCCAAGGATTGGCTGGTTTAGTCAATCAAGGAGATGTAGAAACTATGATAAGAGCGCAAAAGCAAATGTGAGTCCGTTTCTAGCTATTATTGATACTCCTAAATAATTGTTTTGTTAACTAACTATAGGCTACAGCGGTTTGAAAAAACGAATGAAATGATGTTAAACTGTAACCAGTTATCACAAAGTCGTCTTAAAAATGCGAATGATGATTTCAAAAAACATGTAAAATTACTAACTGAAATGAAAAAGGATCTGGATTATATTTTTAGGAAAGTGCGTTCCATAAAACAAAAGCTAAGCCAACAGTATCCCTTAGACTACGCCGAGGCCCAGCCTCAGCGAAGCAGTTTAGCAGAGGAAGCAGAAGATGAGACAGAGGCAAAGGGTGCCAAATCGAATGTAGAGAAAAAAAGTGTAGAATGTTGTACTAATGTTGAGGACACATCTTCGAAAACCAATAGAGATTCTTTAAATAAAAGCACCACAGTGGAATATGTGCAAATGGAAGAAGCCGTCGACAATGGCAAACCCATTGAAAACGAGTTAATTAAACGTGTATGCTCAATTGAAACCACGAACCCCAATGACTCTTCAGACGCTACATCTGAGGACACTGGCTAGGCAATACTTAAAGTCTATATATGTAATTTAGTATTAAATTAATATATTTTATTTAAAATTAGAATAAACAATATACATGATGTATAAGTACATAAAATATAATTTACATTATTATTTGATATTTGTATTGTTTTGGGACTTTTGAGATTAAAACACGACCATCGTAACTCAGCGAAGCAAAGATCCAAGGGTCTACATTGCTCCACTCAACGCAATAAACCGAGTCTTCATGTTGATCAAAAGTCTGTAATAAACCATCTGAAAGTACACGACGACGTTCCTCCGGCAATGCATCACTAGATGCCTCAGAGCTTACTGAACCGGCACATGTCAGCAAAACTTTGCAATCACTTGAGCTCGATAATATTAGTTGGTCATGGAATGTGTTAAATCGCACCGACCAAACCCAATGAGCGTGGTCATTACGTGAGAATACTGCTTCTTTTGGCATACGACAATCCCACACTTTTACTGCGCCATCATCACCGCCTGTTACAATATGGCATTGCTTATTTGGATTGCAATCCAGATCACGAACAAGCTGATTGTGTGCATCCTCAATCGACCAAGCACAGTGTTGCGTGTCACGAATATCAAACGAACGCACACTACAATCGTGTAAAGTAAAAAACTGATGTCCCTGATGGTGATGGGACCACTTGCCTGTGGTGAAAGAAGGTGAATTCTTTTGGGCATTTGGTGCTGCAGCTTCTGCTACAACACGCGTTTGCGATTCAGCACGGTCAAAAATTACAATTTTTCCATCTACTACACAAGCTAAAGTATTTTTCTGGCTGGGATGAAATTCAACAGTTTTCACTTTATCACCATATTTCTGAAATTAATTGGTATTTACATATATACACAAGTTGCTAAATAGCACACATTTATTTATTAATTTTTACCTCCGTATCGAGTGTTTCAACTTGCTGCCAAGGTAGAAACTCCATTTTTAAATTTTGTTCATCCACTTCCGCAGGCATTTCTAGCAATGCCGCTTGTGTTTGTACTTGTGAACCTTTAAGTACATTGTAACAGGAAGCAATCAAATTTTCATCATGTGGGCTACTATTTAACTTCCAAACTTCGCCAAGCGAATGTTCGTAGATCTACGCGAATTAAAAATAAATTGAGTTGCTAAAGACTTCTTTTTTATATGGATTTACCTTAGATTTTACATTAGCTTGCTCTTCATTAAACTCCAGTAAATGTACTTGATTGGTAGGTTTTAAAGAGTTTGTCGCTATAAAAAACCGCACCTCATTTCCTTCGCCGTATTGAGGAGTTAAGGCTCGAGCCTATTTAATAATATGATACATATATTTCAAAAATATTAAATTTTAATATGTTCAAATGTCGTACTTGCAATTCTAAGCCATAAATCAATCCGTTAGACTCCTCCATATCGTAACAAATTAAGAAACAGAGTTTTAACTATCCTAATATATTTAATTTTTTCTTTTTTATTATAATCAACAAAATATACATATATTTTTTGACAGTGCTTTGTTTGTTTATACGTAACTTCGAATCAGCTGCTACCATAAACAGCTAGCAGCGACCGCTTATCGCTAATAGCATACCAATTTTTTGCAAGAAGAAAACTGTAAAAAAATCGTTTTACCAACTAAATTTCATGTTGTAATTACAAATAAGCATTACAATATAGTGAGGATAAAAAACATGCCATAACAACAAAGAAAAGTAAAACAATTTTTTACAATAAAAATTTTCGGCTGATAAGCAACCGTCCACGGAAGTCTTTCGAACAATTTTCAATTGATATGGCATTACCTAAGAAACTTCAAAATTTGTAAACAAACACACATAACTTTTTTCGGAACATTTCGTTCGTTTTTTATCAAGTCTTTCTGGACGAAGTAAAATAAATGAAGAGCTGGTGACGAGGTCGCAACAAATTTTCCAACAATATTGATTTTCTCTCAACATCGGTCTCAATCAAAACAAGTAAATTTTCTTAACATTGACTTGAACGAGTTCCGCTATGAAGTAAAAGATAAATATATTATTCCTTTTAAAAATTAAAAAAATATATATATGTATATATTAACAGTTGGATGGTATAAACAGTTTTAAAAACGTGTTAAAAGCAATTTGTGAAGTACCTAGCATTAGAAAAGGCAAAGTTTAAAAAATGTCATCTCGCGCACTTAAGAAATTGCAAAGTGGTATAGAAAAGGATTTAATAATCGATGGCAAAGATAACAACGATGATGACCAACTAAGTGAGGACGATGATGAATTGGAAACAACACGGGGAAAGCACTTGAATCCCTTTGACCTGGTAAGTAATTCTAATAACCACGAACTGCACAAGGAGCTAGATATATACATATTTAGAAAGAACGCATCATCCAATTGGAACAGCTGAATGGTAACAATCGTCAAAGTATAGAGACAAATGACACGAATTCAAAACAATTGCATATGCAACAGACACCATTAATACTAGTCACAGGAACGGATGGTAGCTCCTAATAATACGATATAATACGTACTATTGGTGTTAAAAACCAATTCTAAAATGTTATATTTTACTCTGAAACTATAAAGTGCAAGAAAATTTTGACTGTATATCACTTTTGTTTTTCTTTTCGTTCTATGTTTTCATATTATCTTTTGAACATAACATTTGAATACCACCTACGTCACACCAGTTGAATCAACAAAGTTTCTCGGAGAGCGAAGTCAAAGAGGATGACAACGAAACGGAGCATGCCTCAACGGCGGCAAATCTACCAAGTGGGGCAGGTGGTGGTGGTGCAGCCAAACAAAAAAAGAAGAAGAAGCGCAAGAAGAAGGCAAAATACACCGGCAATCACATAAGCAGTGAGGATAATGAGGTAAGTTGAAAAACATAGAAGTGTGAATGAATATTATTTTGAAAGGCCCGCTGCCGTTCTAAACTGATGTTAATAGTGCACTAGGTCAAGTAAGCCAGGGTAATAAATATGAAATAGGATATAAATACAGAAAAGTATTAAGCTTTTAAATTTATACTCATAATTGTTCAATATTGCTTAGTATTATATATATAGAGATCTGAGAATGTACCTTTAATTTAAATTTATGTAAATTAATGTAATTTAATTTAATTTTACTATAGCTTACAGATAAATATCTAAGCGATATAGACTCGCTTATAGGAAAAGTAAATGATGCCACAAACCAAAACGAAAATTTGGAACCTCCTAGAATAGAGGTAGATAATTCATTGCTGAGAGTGGAACTAAGACACTTAAATCCACAAAATGAGATGCGCCGAACATTTGGTAAACGAGTTGTTAAAATTGAGTAAGTATTACTATTTAGTTGCTGCCATCACCAAGTCGAATAATTTATATCATAATTTTCAACTAAGAAATAAACGTGGCCGTCAAAAACCGACACTGAAGTGTACATATATGGTTACTGCCAAAGATTCCTGGCCTCGTATTCCGAAAAACGTTATCTCTATGAAAGCAGTACAGCCGCCTGATCAGTTGGCAGGTCCTAGCCGTGCTCACATTAATCCTTTAGAGAAAATCCAATGGTTTGCTTTCGAACACAGCGCATACTATCAGGGAATACAAAATTTATTTTTGCAAGCTGTTGAACGCACTGATTCAGAATTCTTTATTAGTTTGATTAGGCGTTGCCCATATCACGTGGATTCTTTAATACAGCTAAGTGAATTATGTAAGTGTTGAGCGAAGATGAGAATTTTTTGTACAAATGTATAAACTTTATATAAAAATCATATAACTTTTTTTTATTTATAAAAATCCCATGCATAGGTAAAATGACAGAGAACTATAGCTTAGCCACTGAACTCATTGAGCGCGCCGTACTTGTGCTAGAGTACTCACTACATCCATGTTTTAGTTTGACATCGGGCAATTGTCGTCTTGATTACCGTCGCCAAGAAAATCGGGCATTCTTTATTACATTGTTTAAATATGCGCAATATTTGGAAGCGCGTGCTTGTTGTCGCACCGCTTTTGAAATTTCCAAATTAATATTGAATATAAATCCGAAAGTAGATCCGTTAGCTATTGTACTGATTATCGACTACTATGCTTTGCGTAGCAAGCAATATGCTTGGCTTATAAAATTCTACGAGGAATACGATACCGTGCGCAACTTATCACAGCTACCAAACATGGCATACTCATATGCTTTGGCATTATTTTGTCAATCAGGAGGTTGGTACAATTTTTCATCATTATTAGTACTAATAAATAATTTTTTATATCTAATAGATTGTGAAAAATCAAACAAAGCTTTGCAGTACGCACTGTTAATGTTTCCTGGAGTGTTGCGTCTGCTGCTGGATGAATTATCTGTAAATACAGACATGCGTGTAATAATATCGTCTTACTTTAACTCTTCGATATCTGGCAGGTAAACTTGTTAATTTTCATTACCATAACTTTGTAACAATTACTATACTCTCTCTCTCTCTCTTTATCCCATAGCCAATCACCTTCATTGCATCAACTTGTGTCATTGTACGTCTGTCGTGCCAAAGTAGTGTGGCGTGTGGACAATATGTTGCCTTGGTTGGAGCATAACGTTAATACAGTTTTGGATCTTGTTGATAAAAAGGATGAAATAATTAACGATTATAACAAGAAACGTGCGGTGCGTTATGTCTCGCCGCCTCGCCCCATTTTACGTCATGTGATACTATCGGATTATAAGGAAAAGGTACCATTAGCTCCATTCCTCAGCACGGAGAAGGATCCGATAGTGATGTATGATCCTTTGCCGCCACTGGACTCGATGAATTCCTATGAGCGGTATATACAAGAACAATTTGATAAACTCTTACCAGAATGCAATGTTTAGATACAATACTTGTATTTAATATATTTAAACTTTGTACACAAGTAATGTTAGACTTTGTATACTAAGACGTAACTACAACGGAACTGAATTACTTTTTTCTTTCATTTTAAATTAATTAATATAATTAACTCGGAAAAAATTTGGTAATAGTGTACGGATTCAAAAACAAACAAAAAAACTAGACATAAGCTCATAGTTTTTAAATCATTGAATTTATATTTTTAATTTTTATTATTTAGGTTTTTT